AGCTGGGCCGTCCTAACCTACACAGCGTCGTGACAATTATGTTTATTTTTTTTGACCAAACAAATAAGCGACGACTACACGCTGCGGGGGTTATCGTGCTGGCTTGTTCTTCCTGTTGCTCCGTATATTTTCAACCTCGCCATTTATCCTATGACAGGGGACTGGACTTACTAGTTTAATAGCTCCTGACACGCCAAGAAACACAAACGATCTCCAACCGCCCAGAGAAGTGCACAGTTATGGCCTGGAAATATACAAGTATTGGATGTTCGCAAGTGACCTACCGCTATGATGAAAGATCCTGGTAAAACATCACCTAATCCCCATTTATAGCCATCTAAAAGGTCAGAATGGGATTACAGTAGTCGCCGGTTATTAAGCTCACCTCGGACCCAGACAAAATTGAGCTTGATAAGTGGCTGGACATACTAATCGTGGGTTAAATAACCGGTGACTACTGTACAAAGATCGCGCAGTGAGCAGGTGCAGAGATGGAGGCGTCCATAAGGGATCGGAGGTAGATGTATAATTAACTGCCCAGTAATGAAGTGTCCATTGACTGTGTAGGCTAAAATGTACGACCCACGTCCAACAACTTTTGTCCTCTCCCCCTTCACAAGTCACCTGCATACTGCGGCTTTGCCCATCTTTCACGGCTATCGACAGTCCAACTGCCGGTTCTGACGATGCCCACTGTATACTCCACAACAGGGTGGTACGACGGTGACTTGCTGGATTATAGTGAAACTAAACTTGCGCTACGTCTACCTCAGCCTCTACGCGCCCCGCGCCTAAAAAGACCGGAGGATAACCTACAGAAACATCAGCAACGGTATGGATGTCGGTAGAAGCCTCAACACAGTTTGCAGTTGTATCTATCATGACGACAGCTGTGCCAGAGAGTAGAAAAAAAGCACGACACTGGTAAAAGATTTCCGGGTAGACAACAAAAATATATATACATAGAGAAGAATACAGAAATTTTGTTCTGGAAAGGTGTATGAATGCA